GGCCAGCCTGGACCTGCTCCAGTGCCTGGAGCTTGGCCCACGTTCTGGGGGGTGCCTACAGGCCCGGGGTGCCACATTCTGGGACCATTCTGCACTCAGTGTTCATGAAGACCCTTCAGGGCCCATTCCCTTGATTCCCCCTGGGCAGGAGACAGCTCTGAGGTGCTGGGGGTGGGGGGAGGGGTCAGTAGCCTCGTGGTTGGCAAACGGGGGACAGACTTGCGCTTGTTCTTTCCAGATTGCCTCCCCATCTCTGGCTCCATCCACTCTGGCTAAAAATGGAAAATCAAGTCTCCTGAAGGCCTAAGGTGCCTGCCCACCGCCTGGGAGCTCATGGAGGAGGGACGAGAGCCCGCACGGAGGGATCCTCTCTCAGCATCTGTAAAACCACGACAGGTAGGAACGGCAGCCCAGTGGCTTCGCTTCCAAATTGGGTCCCTGGGTACCCCAGGCACTTTGTAGACTCTGGGATGGGGGAGGGCATGAGCAGCCCCAAGCAGCCGCACGGAGCATGCCCATTTCAAGTGTTGGACATTGTAGTTGAACGAGAGCTCTACAGTACTCTCCTGTCTTCATGCGAGGTCTGGTCCTGGGAGGCCAGGGGCAGTACAGGTCCTGGCGGGGGTAGCGGTGGGGGGGAGATGAGTAGGCCATGTCTGAGCTGCTGGCTCTGGGGACAGGTGATCCCAGGCTGGGCATGGCAGGGTCAGATGACACCTGCTTCCACACCTGGGAAACACAAACAGACCTTTGCCCAGAGCGGCTGGGGAGGCAGGAGCAGCACCCACCTTCCCAGGCGCCGGACCAGGGCCCCTTTCTCTACTGCTGCCTTGGCCTGTTCTCAGGGGCGTCAGGTGGCGATCAGCGGTGACCTCCCCTCCCCCCCACGGGGTCTGACCACTGGCATGAAGGAATGATTAAGGCAAAAAGCAGAACAAAGGGCCAAATTGCTTTGGGAAAAGAAAAGACTAGATTGGGGGCACTCACAGAGTGGGAGCGGGGAGGGGACCTTCTGGAAAGGCAATCCGTGCCAGTTGAATTGGTCATCCTAGCCCAACGTTTGCCCCTGTGTCTCAGTTTCCCTTTTGGAACCCAGGCAGGAGAAAGGCGTGGCGGTCCCGGTGGCATGAGCCGGTTGCATCCTCTCCCTGCTCCAGATGGAGAAGCAAGCTGGGGGCTCCAGCTGCCCGAGCCCTGAGAACTCGCCCCGCCGCCGCATTCTCTTCAAGCCCACCACCTCTCACCCCGAACCCGCTGCAGGGCCCAAACTGGCCCCACACGAGCAGAGCTGCCAGCAGGGCCCTTTGTGGGGCTGCTCCCGTGTGGCACAGCCTAGGGGCCCCACCATGGGGCAACAGATGGACCCATGGTCTCTACAGAACAATGGTGGGGGAGGGGCCCTGGCATCGCCCGCCCCAAACAGGAAGCGCTGCATGAGCTTCAAAGGACTGGCAGGGCCAAGGGGCTGAGTTGGTGGGGCCAGTGCCAGGGCTGGCTGCTGCCTGCCAGCCTCGCGATGCCCGGCCTGCTGGTGGGGGCAGGGCTGTGGTGCGGGGCAGCTGGGGCTTGGGCAGAGGATGCCTTACGCTCGCAGGACGGCAGCAGGTGTGGGGGAGGGGGTTTGGACGCTGTGCCGTTTCCAGGTTGGACTGTCACCAGCCTCAGGGCCACACACAGTAGGGCTGTCTCCCAGGCCACAGTAGGGCTGTCTCTGCAGCCAGCCATCAAGAGGGGCAGGGCTGGCACCGGGCCTGCCACCCACTCCCTGCCTCCTGCTCCCAGCTGCTCGCTCAGAGCCTTTTCCTCTCCACTTCCTGTTCACACAGGGGGGGGCGGGAAGTGGGGGAGGAAGTTAGGGGGAGGCTTGCAGAAGGGGGGGGGGGGCCATTGAATAAAGGGATTAACCGTTTCCCTCCTCTGACCTCCGGGAATTTCCACCTGTGAAAGTGTCTGGAAGAACCAGGAGCTGGGGGGAGGGGGAGGGGTGTGTGTGCATGCCCCCCCACCCCACCCCCCATGCCCCGCCCCACCTGGTGTGGGAGTGGGGGGGTGGGGGGAGAGGTGAGTCCCGCTGAGGTCCCTAACCTGCTCCCCTGGCACCAGGAGGCAGCCCGCAGCCTGGTGGCCTCGAAGCCCCTTCCCAACCAATGAGGCCGGTGCCAGGCGTGGCTAGGGCTTCGAGCCTTGGAGAGGAGAGGTTGGGGTTGGGGTTGGGGCTGGCACTCGCCCATCTGCCTCCCAGACAGGAGGGGGTGCAGTAGGCCTGGCACTCAGGGAAGGCACACCCAAGGGCCACCACGCCTCCAGGAGCCCTGCCCTCCCCCAGCCAGTGACAGCGCCCCCTGGTGCCCGTGGCTTCAGGGTAGGGTGGCCCCCAGGGGCTGCTCAAGGGCGGGCCTCAGGAAGCACCTGCTCTCCAGGAGCAGGGGCCGCCCTGAGTCTCCCCCAGGTGGTTTCCTTGTTTACAGGCCTCCTGCCCCGGTCCACGTCACCCCCTGTGGCCCCTCCTCCTATTTCCAGTGATGGCTCCAGGAGCCGCTCATTCATCTGAGCCCCGGCCCCCAGGCCCCGGGCCAAGGCCTCCAGGGCCTGGTCTCTGCTCTCCGTGCCTCACTCGGTTTCCAGGGATCTAAGAGCGTGCGGCTTCCCGTTGCCCTGACTCACCGGAATCCCACTCTGTCAGTGCCAGGGAAGACTGTGGCCTTTTCCCAGGAAAGAGGAAGCGGCTGAGGACCAGATGGGCTGGCTTAGAAGACAGAAGGGGCAGGGGCATCCCACCCAGGCTGTTTTTAGCCAAGCCCTCTGGGAGCAGCGGGCAGCAGTGCAGTGTTCATTTAACTCACATGTTTTGAAAAAGGACAGATGCCCCAAGCTGTTCCTACAGTAAGTCATCAGCAAGGGATCACATCAGGGCTGACGGAGGTCTGACTCCGGGTATCCGCTGACCTCCGAGGCCACGCCTCTGAGCTCTGGGTATAGCGAGGGAGGCTGAGGCCCATGGAAAGAGGAAGGGAACAGGCAGCTCCAAACCTTCCTGGGGCAGCAGAGACAAGCTTAGGATGTCTTCTCCCTGCTCAATGGGACCCTCTCCCCACTTACTCCTGCTCTTTTCCCTAGGGAAGATGGGGAGCCTGGGAGTCGTGGCAGGAGCAGCTTTCAGCCCTCTTGGTTGGCAGAGCATGAAGAGATCTTGTTGCCCCAGTAGCCATGGAATTCGGCAAGAGATCCAGTCAGATGCCCACAGCATGGGAGGAGATATGATTTCTGGGGCATGACTGAGTTGCAGGACAGAGGGAAGATGTGCCACCCAGGTGAGCTGCACCCACCCTGCTGACAGGAACACTTACTTACTATCAGTCTGAAGCAGCTGATAGGTCACACCCATCAAACCGGGCAGTGCCCTATGAACGCCTGTCCACAGGGCAAAGGGTGCTCGGCGGCTGTCATGGGAAGGCCCAACTCCAGAGCTCCCAGCCCCAACCAAGGAAGAGTAAGCTGGGGGGAAGGGCAGCTCACAGAAGCAAGGTGAGGAGAAAACAAATGTACCAAATGCCACAGGCACTGACAGCGGCTGTAGCACCACAGGGCAGAAGCTGGCAAAGCTGGTATCCAAGCTGGCGGGGGAGCACGCAAAATCTAGCATGCTTAAAGGCCAGGGGGAGGCCTCATCAGCACAGGTTGTGGAGACTTCCAGACTATTCTGGGACAACCAGGGAGGAAAGAGCTGACGAAGCACTAATGAGAATAATGATGTAGCTCAGTCACAAGGCACTTGCCTGACAAGTGCAGTGTCCTGGATTCAATCCCTGGTACCAAAAAAAAAAAAAGAAATGGCTTGATGGGCCAGGTGCTAGTGGCTCATGCCTATAATGCTAGTTACTCAGGAAGATGAGATCTGAGAATCATAGGTCAGGTCAAAGGTAGGAAAGACTTATCTCCAATTAACCCCCAGAAAACCAGAAGTGGTGCGGTGGCTCAAAGTAGTAGAACAGCAGCTTTGAGCAGAAAAAGCTAAGGGACTCGTCCCCAGGCCCTGAGTTCAAGCCCCATGACCAATAACAACAAAAAGTGGTGCTGTGGCTCAAGTGGTAGAGTTGAGCCTTGAGCAAAAGAAGCTTGGAGAAATGTACTCATTACCTTACTTATGTAACTGAAACCATTCTGACATCACCTTTATAATAATTAAAAAAAAAAAAAAAAAAAAAAGCAGCAGCAGCTCAGGGACAGTGCCCAGGACTGGCAAATGAATAAATAAATAGAATCAGGATTCAGTGGGCAGCACCACCACCTGCTGGCCAAAATGGAGAACAGCACCTATTCTACAATTTAGGATGAGGGGCCCTGGGCCAAGAGGACAGAAAGGGGACAAGGAAGGAGAATCTCACAGGATGGCCTGCCTCATCTCCAGGAAGGCCTGTGGAAGCTGGAAACATCCTGTCACAGCCCCGCCCCGCCTGGGGATCACTCACACCTCACCCAGCCCGGCATGAACATGAAGCTACCAGTGTATACAGACAATTTAATTCTTTCTACCTGTCCTCCATGAGGCCCTGGGCCCCAGGGCGCCCTCACATTACAGCTCCAGACTGAGCACAAGAGCACACAGACCATTCTTACCCTGCCCCCCCTTGTCCAGCCCAGGACGCGGAGGGTACCTTCCCATTCTGGAGCACCTACGTGCATAAAGGAGTGTCTCCTAGAGGAAAAAAGATCTAGAGTCCCAGAGGCCTGGGAATGAAGGAGAGCAGTGGCAAGGACAAGGCTGAGGCCCACGCTCAGGTCTCTGACTTCCCCAGGCTAACAGCCTGGGGGAAGAGCAACGCTAGGGTCTGAGCACAGCCAGAAGCAGGCGGGAAGTACTCCCCTGACCTCAGGCAACCGGCTCCATATCCACTACCCGCCAAGGACACACCCAGCCACTGCATGATGATCTAGCCCCCACAGAGTGCAGCCTTGGATCTTGTGGCCTTCCCACGGGGGCAGGCAGGGGGTGGGGGGAGGGGGAGGGGGGCAGACACACTCCTACAACCAGCTGAGGTGCTCCTCCTCGTAGCGCTGGGGGTCGATGAAGGGCCGATCTATGGAGCGGATCATCAACTCCCCACAGTACACGCACTCAGCAGCCACCAGTTCATCTAGGTCAGCCTTGAGCTGCTCCCGGCTAGGCCCCCCAGCAGCCCCACCGTCAGCCTCCTTGGCTCGGGCAGAGCCCTTGGCTGGGGGCGGCGCAGCCCCAAGCTTGCGCTGCAGCTCCTCCAGCCGGGCCTGCTTGTAGGCAGGCAGGCCGGGCCGCACGGCCTGCAGGAGGCAGTCAGCGTGGAACATGTGGCCACAGAGGAAGAGGTAAAATGGGCGGTTGAGCAGGGGGAAGTCACAGCTGGCGCATTTGTCCTGGTGCTCCACGGTGCCGTAGCGGCCGCGCAGCTCCTGCAGGTCCCGCCGGATGCGCTGCGCACTGGCTGTGGCCTCTTCCATCTCCCGCTGCAGCTCCTGGATGTGATGATTGTAGGCCTTAAGAGAGCTGCAGATTGCCTCCTTGAAGTGGTCGATGGTGACAAAATCCGGGAAGAAGGGCAGCACATCTTCAATCTTGAGCAAGGGGCAGCTGGCCAGGCAGGCCATGGCTGTCTGCACATCCTCTTCCTCCTGCACCACGTGCCGTGCAATCTTCAGCCACAGCTTCTTACGTAGCTCCTCATCCTCCTCAGGCAAGTCTGCACACTGCTTGGCCAGGTCCACGTCAACCTGTGGGGAAACGGTGAGCGTGAGGGCCAGGCCCCTGCCTCATCCGGGATCCACACAGATGCCTAAGGAGAACCTTGTTCAGAGGAGAGACCCCAGGCAGGAGTCCCAGTCCTCCAGCCAGCGACGCTCCCACGACAGCAACCTAGGTCAATGCTGAGTGTGTGCGTGTGTCTCGGCTAATGGAAAAGCTCCTTATGGTGGGAGAGCGCTAACTTTTTTTTTGTTTTGTTTTTCTGGTCAGTCCTGGGGCTTGAATTCAGGGCCTGGGTGCTGTCCCTGAGTTTCTTTTGCTCAAGGCTAGCACTCTACCACTTGAGCTACAGTGCCACTTCCGGATTTCTGGTGGTTTATTGGAGATAAGAGTTTCACGGACTTTCCTGCCCAGGCTGGCTTTGAACCACGATCCTCAGATCTCAACCTCCTGAGTAGCTAGGATTACAGGTATGAGCCACTGGTGGCCAGCTCATAATAGATTTTTGAGCTCCCCTACCCCCACCCCAACACTCTAACTCAGTAAATCCTGGGTCCAGGCTGAGGAATCTGCATATTAAACAACACTTCCTGAGATCCTAAGGCAAGTTACCTACCATTCATGATGTGAGAAAGTCAGTCAGCCTCTTCCCCCTCAGGCACTGCTGAGTGCTTTTCTCATACTGTACTCATCAGCTCTTTGAGGTAAAAGTGCTCTATTACACCCACTTATGACTGAATAATCTGAGTCAGAGAGATGTTCAGAAATTAGCCCAAAGGCAGTGGTGGTTCACACCTGTAACCTAGCTAGTCAGGAAGCTGAGATCTGAGGATCTCAGTTCAAAGCCAGTCTGGGCAGGAAGGTCTGCGAGAGTCTTATCTCCAATTAGTCAGCAAAAAGCAGTAAGGCTCTGACTCAAGCTCCAGTAACACACACACACACACACACACACACACACACACACACACACACACACACACACACACACACACACACACACACACACACACACACACACACACACACACACACACACACACACACACACGAAAAAAGATGAAAAATCCAGCCAGGAAGGTCTGCGAGAGTCTTATCTCCAATTAGCCAGCAAAAAGCAGTAAGGCTCTGACTCAAGCTCCAGTAACACACACACACACACACACACACACACACACACACACACACACACACACACACACACACACACACACACACACACACACACGAAAAAAGATGAAAAATCCAGCCCAAGATTCCAAGAGTTCAGGTCTTAGTGGAAGAGCCAGAATTTAAACTCTGACCTTCGAGTCCCTGTTCTGGGCTGCTACCCTCTGCTAGCACCACCTAACCTGCCCCCCACCCCCCCGTCCCCCCTCCAGCCTCTGATGCCACTGCTCTTGAGGTCCCCCGCTGCAGGCTGGGTCAGTCCTACCTGCAGGGCCAGGTCCACGGCCTCCTCATACAGCTCCAGCACCTTGTACACGTGGACGCAGGCCCGGTGGTGGCCATGCTCGGCGCAGAGGCGCAGGGCGTACTTGAGGTCATAGTGCACGCGGTGTGGGCTGGCCCCGGCTTGCTCCAGGTAGGCCAGCAGCGAGTCTGGCTGGCCTCGGGCGTACAGCGACAGCAGGTAGTTGTGAATGGCTTGCTCCGTTTCTCCAAGCACCTTCACGCAGAACTCCATGTAGCGGATGGCTTGGCTCACCTGCTGGGCCTCGCCACCCTGGCTGTAGTTCACCAGGGCAGGGATGAGCTGCCGGGCGTCCAGCCGGCTGCCCAGTTCCATCCAGGCATCTACCAGCTGGCGGGGGATGTGACGGATGAGCATAGGGGAGAACTTATAGAAGAGCTGGGGGTCTCGGTGGCGGGCCAGCACGGCCAGGGCCTCCTCGTACGCCTCGTGCTGGCAGTGGTAGGCCACCACCCGCTCATAGTCCTGCATGATCACGGCAAAGTACACCATGTGTTCCGTGTCCCCGTGACTGGCGAGCAGCTCGTGGATCGACGCCCGGCTGTCAAAGAGCCACTCCTTGTGTCGGGGGCTGCTGAGGAAGGAGCGGAAGCGCTCCTGGGTTTCCCGGTAGAGGTTACGGGCGTCTGGGGTGCCCTGCAGGGCCCCGAGCTGGCTCAGGTAGAGCTCCGTCAGCCAGGTGGTCAGGAGCGTGGCCTGGGTCCGCTCGGCTGGCTTCAGACCGGCTAATTTTCTCTGCAGGAACTCGACCAGCGCTTCCTCCTGCCGGGCCTCCAAGAACTTCAGGGCGATCTCCTCAAAGTAGCTGTGGGTCAGCGCGTAGCAGCGAGCGCTCTCCAGGTAGCGCCGCTGGCGGAAGCAGAAATCGGCCTCCCGGGCCAGCACGGTGTCCAGGCAGTCGGGCCGCTCGCGACAATACTCCTTGGCCAGGTCGAAGCGGTTCATGTCCAGGTAGGTGCGCCACACGTCCCGGGCCTCGCGCTGCACGTGGTAGCGGAAGACGGCTCGCTCCGTGTAGGCCCACAGCTGGCCGCTGGCCGCGTCCTTCACCATGTGCTTCAGCGGCCCGAACTTCTCCAGGAAGTGGTCGCGCAGCACCACCTGCCCCGTGAGCGTGCACACCGCCTCCACGCGGTCCGCCAGCAGCAGCAGGAAGTGGAACTGGGTCAGCACGATGGCCAGGGGCGGGCTGGCCCCAGGGCCCACCCCCTCTGGGTACTCCCAAACCCGCTCCTCGCTCAGCAGGGAGTCGGGGCGCCCGCAGTCCAGCGAGCCGTACAGCACGCCATCTCCCATCATCCAGGCAAAGGCTCGGGGCGCAGAGCGCAACTTGGGGGTATAGAAAGCCAACTCGCTGTAGCCCAGGTTACTAGGGAACTCGCGGAATGGGGGTGGGTGGTCCGTGTAGGCTGCAAAAAGCCCTGAGAAGCCCTGGGCCTCGGCCCCCTCCGTGCCTCGACCTATGAACTGGAAGAGGCGCTGCCGTGTGGTGGCGATGACGAAGCCACGGCCATCAGGGCCCCGCTCGGCCTCCAGGGAGCACACGGGCGCTGGACCCCCTTCTTCGTTTAGCACATACAATGGGCGGAAGTAGAGGTCGGGGGCAGGGCCAAACAGCCCACCCTCGCTGGCTGAGAGCTCGGCTTCGAAGACCTGGCCCTGGGCAGTGCCCACCAGGATGGGGCCTGTGCTGCTCTCCGTACCCAGAGCCTTGTTCCAGCCCACGCTCTCCACCAGCTGCCCCTTCCAGCGGGCGAGCGGCCGGACCTTCTGTCCATTCCGGTTCACGTAGAGGACCTCAGTGTTGCTCAGAGCTATGAGCAGGTGAGAGCCTGGAATGGGCAGAAGACAGCACCTGAGGGGGTGCTGCCATCCCACTCCCCACATCCCCCCTACCCCACTCCCCCCCACCCCCCGGGGGCTCAGCCTCCTCCGGCCCCCTCCGCCAGGCAGCGGCTCACCCACGGCCCCTCCTCGGCTCTCCACGACTCACCAGTGTGGTCCAGAAACATCTTGTGAACTTTGGTGTCATCCTTGCGCCCCAGCTCCACGTGGTTGGGTTCATTGGCTTTGCCCAAGTCAATGCTGTGGGGACAAGAGTCACCGTGTCACAGATCTCTTTCCTTGTCTGATAAAAACCAGGCTCTTTCCTGGAATCCAAATATACACAAAGAATCCCAAATACAATCAAGAGAACATATGTGTGTGTGTGTGTATACACACAAGATCTTCATATCTCAGCCTCCATGGAAGGAATAGCTAGGATTAGATGTTAGCCACCAGTGCCTGGCTTCCTCTTTGTCTAGGTGCTATCCCTGAGCTTTTTGGCTCAAAGTTAGCACTCTTTATCACTTGAGCCACAGCTCCACTTTCAGCTTTTTTTGGTTAATTAGCAATAAGAGTCTGACAGGGCTGGGAAGGTGGCTCAGTGGTAGAATGCTTGCCTTGCATGCATGAAGCCCTGGGTTCAATTCCTCAGCACCACATAAGCAGAAAAAGCTGGAAGTGGCACTGTGGCTCAAGTGGTAGAACACTAGCCTTTAACTGAAGAGCTGAGGGACAGCGTCTGGGCCCAGAGTTCAAGCCCCATCGCCAACAACAACAAAAAAGTCTCACGGATGGACTGGGAATGTGGATTAGTGGTAGAGTGCTTGCCTAGCATGCATGAAACCCTGGGTTCGATTCCTCCTACCACATAAACAGAAAAAGCCAGACGTAGCACTGTGGTTCAAGTAGTAGAGTGCTACCCTTGAACAAAAGAATCTCAGGAACAGTGCCAAGTCCCTGAGTTCAAGCCCCAGGACTGGCAAAAAGAAAAAAAAAAAAAAAAAAAAAAAGAGTCATACGGACTTTCCTGCCTAAATTAGCTTTGAATCCTGATCTAGTAGATCTTAGCCTCCTGAGTAGTTAAGATTACAGGCATAAGCTACTGGCACCTGGTTTCCTCATTTTTAACAACATTTAATTATATAAGGGAATTTCATTTTGACATCTCTATATATGATTACAATGTGCCTTGATGAGACTCACCTCATTCCTCTCCTTCCTCCCCCAATATTCAAACTGCAATCTAAAACTCTTAAAAAATAATATTTCAGTAATATATGTGGAAGTCAACAGATAAAGCTGTCATCTCAGTAACTGTACAACATTCCGTTTTATTTTTACTTTTTTTTTTTTTGTCAGTCATGGGGCTTGAACTCTGGGCTTGGGCACTGTTCCTTCACTCTTCAGTTCAAGGCGAGCGCTCTACTGCTTGAGCCACAGCACCACTTCTGGTTTTCTAGTGGTTTATTGCAGATAAGAGTCTCACGGACTTTGCTGCCCGGGCTGGCTTTGAACCGTGATCCTCAGATCTCAGCCTCCTGAGTAGCTAGGATTACAGGCGTGAGCCACCAGCGCCCGGCTATTTTTACTTTATTTATTTTTTTGCCAATACTGGGGCTTGAACTCAGGGCCTGGCATTGTCCCTGAGCTTCTTTTGGTTAAGGTTAGCACTGTTATCACTTGAGCCACAGCACTGCTTCTGGCTTTTTCTGTTTATGTGGTACTGAAAATTGAACCCAGGGCTTCAATGCATGTTAGGGAAGCACTCTACCATTAAGCCATGTTCCCAGTCCCTAACATTCCATTTTATAAGTGAATCATGAGTTAATCACCACTTCCCTATTGATGGGCATTTGGCTTGGGTTTTCCCTTCCACAAATTACCATAGTCTATTCTTGTGTCAATACCCCTGCAACCTGGAACTATTCTGTCTATAATGTATATTCCTTAATGTGGGATCAAAATTGTAGATAAGTCTCCTTTTCCTAAGGCCAGGATTATAGTCATGCCTGGATATATATTACAAACTTTACTAGACATTGCCAGATCACTTTTCCAAAAGATGTTGGCAATTTACAACTTACCAGCAATTATAATGGTTCCTTTCTCTGTATCTTTACTGACAGTTTATTATTATTTTTGTTTTTGCCAACCTGAGAAATTTTTGTTCTTTTTTTTTTTTTGTGCCAATCCTGGGTCCTGAACTCAGGGCCTAGGCACTGTCACTAGGCTTTTTACTCAAGGCTAGAACTCTACCATTTTGAACCACAGTGCCACTTTCAGCTTTTTCTGAGCAGTTTATTGGAGACAAGTCTCATACTTAAACCAGGTTCTGTAGCTCATGCCTGTAATCCTACTCAGGAGGCTGAGATCTGAGGATTGTGGTTCGAAGCCAGCCTGGGCAGGAAAGTCTCCAATAAACTACACAGAAGGCTGGGAATGTGGCTAAGTGGTAGTGTGCTTGCCTAACATGCATGAAGCTCTGGGTTTGATTCTGTGTATGTGTACCACATACACAGAAAAAGCCAGAAGTGCCGCTGTGGCTCAAGTGGTAGAGCAGAGCACTAGACTTCAGCACAGAGAGGCTCAGAGACAGTGCCCAGGCCATGAGTGCCCCAAGACAGGCAAAAAAAAAAAAAAGAATAACCCATTAAAAGTTTAGGGTAGTGTACATGAAGCATGAAAACTTTTAGTGTTAAATAAATTATGAAAATTTTTGTATTGTGGGGAAAAAAAAATCAGAAGTTCCACTGGGTGCTGGTGGCTCAAATTTTAGTTTCTCTTCTGCTCAATGATTATTTATCCTCTTTACCCTCCCTTTCCTTTACTACTCTCTTTCTTTCTTTTTTGTCATTGGTCGTGGGGCTTGAACTCTGGGCCTGGGCGCTGTCCCTCAGCTCTTCAGCTCAATGCAAGCTCAATGCACTTGAGCTACAGTGCCACTTCCAGTTTTCTGGTGGTTAATTGGAGATAACAGTCTCAGGGAGACTTTCCTTGCACAGGCTGGCTTTGAACCGTGATCCTCAGATCTCAGCCTCCTGAGTAGCTAAGATTACAGGCATGAGCCATCAGCGTCTGGCCTTTTTCTTGTTACAATAACAATTAGTACTTAGACATATATACATACACAGTTGTATATATATATATACACACACACACACACGAATATAACATACATATCTTTTTACTAGTGGCTGCTGGATTTCTAGTTTGAGTAAGGGAAGTCTCCCTTTAACATAAAAACACAGAAATTTATTGAATGTTATTTTAGGTTGTTTTTTTTTTTTTTTTTTTTTCCCCAGTTGTGGGGCTTGAACTCTGGGCCTGGGCACTGTCCCTCAGCTCTTCAGCTCAAGGCAAGCACTCTACCACTTTAGCTACAGTGCTACATCCAATTTTCTGGTGTTATTGGACATAAGAGACTCACTGACTTTCCTGCCCGGGCTGGCTTTGAACCGCGATCCTAAGATCTCTGCCTCTTGGGCAGCTAGGATTACAGGTGTGAGCCACTGGTGCCTAGCTTTTGTTTTGTTTTGTTTTTGAGAAAGGTTCTTGCTACATAGCCCAGGCTGGCCTTGAACTCCTGATTCTCCTGCCTCAGCCTCCTGAGTACTAGTATTACATTCTGTCCTAGTCAGCCCCCAAATACTCTCCCCGCCCACCCCACTCCATACTCTGAAAGTTATGGAGTCTCCATTACCGCAGCAGTGTGTCTTTGCCCAGGCTCATACAGAGCTGATTGCTGGAGACCACGAGACTGGTGATACGATCTGAGGGAGTGAAGTCGATGCGCTGCTTGGTGAAGATGGGCACTTCCTTCTCCAGCTGGGCATTTACATACCCTATGTATGAGGAGTGAAGAAAAGGTTAGCTGTGGAAGGGCAAAGGGAGGGGGAAAAAGAAAACCTAAGCAAGCCAAGTAACCCATTAAACAACAGTGCTAGTGAAACTTTCATGTTACTGAAACACTCATATGAAGGTGGTAAATAGTTGTGTATCAAGTATTTACAGTGAGGGTCTGAGGTTGTTCTCTCCCTTTTGGAAGCACTGAGCCTAAGATGCTACAACAGCATGATGTGTCAAGTCAGAATGAGGACAGTGTCTGGGTATTCTCTCTCACCAGTCTCTAGCCTAGCTGAACTAGTCCCTTCCTCCATGCCCATACATGACCCTACACCTAAATGAGACTCACTGATATCTTGAGATGAAGGACAGAAGGAGTCCTGAGGAGCCGGGCGCTGGTGGCTCACGCCTGTAATCCTAGCTACTCAGGAGGCTGAGATCTGAGGATCGCGGTTCAAAGCCAGCCTGGGCAGGAGAGACCGTGAGACTCTTATCTCCAATAAACCACCAGAAAACCGGAAGTGGCGCTGTAGCTCAAGTGGTAGAGCGCTCGCCTTGAGCTGAAGAGCTGAGGGACAGCGCCCAGGCCCAGAGTTCAAGCCCCACGACCGACAAAAAAAAAAAAAAGGAGTCCCGAGGAACCTTTGTGGTCAGTATTGTTAACAAAGCATAGTTAGCTTTGCTCCCTCCATCCAGTTACTCAGAATGTCCCAGCACTGCCAACTCTGCTTTTCATTCTACAAAATTTGTCCCTAAACTATAGGCTGCACCCAGCACCACCCAAGGCAGTGATGAAGTTCCGCTTGGAAGCATCCCTCCTCCCGCCATACCACTCCCCTGCCCCGCCTCTCTGCCATCTCTGGGAAGGGGTCTGGTGTCAAACGCACAGAACCAGGCATCAACAGAAACCTGGAACCTGTTCTCAGTTCTGCCAAGAGCTCAAGTGCACGGTCCTATAGTCAAGTACTTCCTCTTCAGAAACTCAAGTTTCCTCTTCAGAAGGGGCCTGGTAGGTAGTAGGCCGTAGATCACGCGGTTGCTGCCCTGGCTCTCTCAGACCCAGCCAACAGAGCCCTGAGAGAATCTGGGGCCTAGACTGCACGTCTGGAAGGTGAGCCCAGGCTCTCGCTGCCACCCCCATCCCCGCTCTTTCCCCGCAGGGACAGCGGCGCCCCCCTCTTCCTCACCCGAGTGCGGGATGCCCACGCTGGGACAGCCGGGCTGCAGGACGGCCGAGCGGGACAGTGAGTCCTCATACTCATCCAGGATGGATGCCATGGTGCCGGGCCTGTGAGTCCTTCGTCCGGGGCCTGGGGGATCACAACAGGGCTCCCCGGCGGCCCGGACTGGAAACTGCGACTTCCCAGCCTCTGGAGGATTTGCCTCCGAGGACCACGCTCTCGCCTAGCAGGGCGAGAGGATCCCGGGGCTCTCCCACTAGGACCTGGCGCAGTCTTGCACCGCGCTCGCGCCGCCAAGAGATCAAAGGCTCCCCTTTAGCAGATCCCAGATGATCCCCACCTCACCCGGCCCGAAGCTCAGCTGACTCCCGCCCCCGTGACGCGTCCCTATGACGCAACTTCCGGCTGCTCCAAGTCCAGCGGCGGCGGCAGCACCACTGGAAGGCGTGGCGCCCGTGGGCGTGGCCATCCCAGAGCTCCAATCAGTGATGGGCAGCTGGAGCCCCGCGGGCTGGTGGGCGGGCCTTACTTCTACCTCCGGTCCGGCCCTCGCGCAATTCCCGACGTCGACACCGGAGGGCGGCCTCGGCCTTCTGAGGCGTCGAGCGCGGCCGCAGCTTTCCGCTGAGGCGAACCTCGAACCTGCCGCGAGAGGTCTGCCGGGCGGAACACGCTCAGCGCCAGACGCCGTCCGCAGGGCTGCCCTGGCCTGCCCCGTCCACCCTCACCGGCGCCGGCAGAGCAGCCCCAGCTTCCCTTCCACACCGGGGGCCACCACGGGCTCCCAGCAAGCGGGCCGCGGCTGTGACGGGGAGCGCGCCCGGCGCCCCGCAGGCCCGGCGCCGCAAACACCGAGTATCAGCTGAGAAGTAGAAAAGGTGGTGGGTGAACGAGCGGCTGGAACCCCCCGGGCCAGGTAACTAACGCCCCGAGGCCTGCCCCACCCTCTGGCTCCGTGCTGTGTGTTGGGGGGGGGGGCGAAGCTCAGCTTCACTCCGTGTTCTCTGAGCACCTGCTCTGTGCAAGGCCTCCAGCTGGAACCGGGCGGAGCAGTCACGGGAGAGTAAAGGCACTTTGGCTGTTCTGCAGAAGTTGGTCATGAACCAGCAAGGGCCCAGCTGGACGCCGGTAGCTCAACGCCCGTAATCCCAGAATATCTGAGGATCTCAGTTCAAAGCCAGCCTGGCCAGAAACGGCTGTGAGACTTTGGAAAGTGGCAGAGCGCCAGCCTTGAGTGGGAAAAAGCTAAGGGACAGCACCTAGGCTCTGAACTTAAGCCCTAGTACCCACACACAGAAAAAAAGACAAAACAACAACAAAAAGGCAGCAGGGGCAATGGCCCAGCAAGTAGATCACCAACACCAGGAGGATGATTAAGGAGAGGAGGGCCCAAGCATCTCTCCATTTGCTTCTCTCTCCCAGTTTCCAAGGCAGCCCAAGTCTGTCTCCTTCTGGGGGCCATGGCGCCATCTTGTTAGTGTCATAGCTGTTCTCACGTGTGAAGATAGGGCACCCCTTCACTCTGAAAGGTACTTGGGTGTACCCCGTGCTTTATGCGGTCATTTTACTTTTCATTTACTTGGCCAGGTGTCAGTAGCTCTCACCTGTAATCCCAGCTACTTAGGGAGCTGATATCCGAGGCTCTAGCATAATGTCCAATATGGCCCCTAGGCTCAATCAACTGAGCATTTCAGCTCAAGGTGAACACTCAACCACTTGAGCCACAGTGCCACATCCCATTTTCTGGTGGTTGATTGGAGATGAGAGTTTCATGAACTTTCCTTGCCCAAGCTGGCTTTAAAGCACAATCCTCAGATCTCAGCCTCCTGAGTAGCTAGGATTACAGGCCTAACCCATCAGCTCCGGGCTTGCCTTGCCTTTTTTATTCTGGCCACTTGAAGGCGCCTAATTAGGAAGCATGGCCATTAATTAGCTTTGTTTGATAGAACTGAAGCTTGTGTCAGGGAATATTGTGGATGTTCCTGGGACCTGGCAGCTGGAGCTGCAGATCCACCAGCCTCCAGCCATCAGTGCTAATGAAGTCATTGTCGTAAGACTGTAAAGGCCCATTTGGACAGTTGAGAGCATTTGCAGTTATATTTGAGCAGAGACTTGAAATACATGTATGATCTCCAAGAGCAAAAAGAGAGCCAGCCAGGTACCAGTGATTCCTGCTTGTAAACTTTTTTCTTTCTTTCTTTCTTTCTTTTTTGTTATTGGTTGTGGGGCTTGAACTCAGGGTCTGGGTGCTGTCCCTGAGCTCTTTTGCTCAAGGCTAGTGCACTACCACTTTGAGCCACAGTGCCACTTCCAGTTTCTGAGGGTTAATTGGAGATCATAGTCTCACAGGGACTTTTTTTGCCATTCTGGCTTTGAACCACAATCCTGATCCTCAGATCTCAGCTTCCTGAGTAGCTAGGATTACAGGCATATAATCCTGTGCACCTGGCTTCCTGCTTGTAATCTTAGCTACTTGGAGAGCTGAGATAGGGAAGAGCTAGCTCAGGCAGCTCAGTTTGGGAGACTGCCTTCTTAACCAATAGCTAGACAGAATAGACTCCATTCTAGCTATTATAGGAAGACTAAAACAAGTAGACTTCAGTATAAGTACTATTCTGGCAGGAAGCGAGGTCTGTCTCAAAAATAACCAGTGCCTCAGTAGTAAAGTGACTGCCCAGCCAACATGATGTCCTGAATTCAAACCTCAATACTGCCAGAAGCGGGGATAGGAAGACACGTAGGCCTCAGGGGAAGCCGGAGCTGAGACCTGCAAGTTGTGCGATGTTTGGGAGCAAAAAGCTGGAACCTTGTTAGAGAGCAGAGGAGTGAGGAGGGGCATGGAAGCTGTTGTCTGCACCTCAAGAAGGTTCTGATTGGGGATGAGATCATCTGATGTGGTTCTAGAAAGATGAGTGGTATCTACTGTGGGTGGAGCTCACTGTGGAGAGAATGAGAGTGAGGCAAAGGAGAAGCTGTGTGGACCCAACCAGAAGGAAGAGAGTAGGCAGGGAGGGCCCCCTGGACCAGATAGGGGTGTGTGAAGGAAGGGTGCAGAAAACGTGGGGAGACCGGGCAGGAAGTGGCACTGACAGGGTCGGGGGTGGGGGGAGAGCTGGGCAGGGTGATGGATCTCAGCTTGGACACTTGCCCAGGACACGTGCAGAGCACGGAAGGGAAGCCCGGGAGCTGCCCATACGCTCACTTGTAAATATAATCAAGCAGTTGCTCGAATGAGCCGCCTCATGCCTCTTCCACATGTGTGATATGAGAAAAATCCATGTTAGAAGCATCATGAAAAGCATTAGGATATAGTGCCAATCAGTCCACACCGAGCCTGAGTCAGTGTGAGCATGCTCAGTCAGTACACGTTAACTAGTCCTTGTAACTGTTGACTGAATTTAGACCCAGACCAAGAAGAGTGACTTAAATGACATAGGTAAAAGCTAGATTTCCTCTAGAACTAACAGCAACAATAAAAGACCCACTGGTAAAGGGTGGCTGTACAGAGGAGGAAACAGGATCGGTGGGAGAAAAGAGGGAACTGCAAAGGGATGAATATGATAAAGCATAGAACATAAATATATATGCTTGTGTGTATATATGAAAATAGCATAGTGAAGCCCACTAAAGATAAAAAGGAAAGGAAGAGGGAGGGACAAGGATTAAAAAAGAGTAATATAGGGCTGGGAAGGTGGCTCAGTGGAAGAGCGCTTGCCTTGCATGCCTGAGGCCCTGGGTTCGATTCCTCAGCACCACATAGCAAAAAGAAAAAAAGCCGGAAGTGGCGCTGTGGCTCAAGTGGTAGAGCGCTAGCCTTGAGCTGAAGAGCTGAGGGACAGCGCCCAGGCCCAGAGTTCAGGCCCATGACTGGACTGAAAAAAAAAAAAAAGAGTAATATAGCTGTGCACCAGTGACTCATGTCTGTAATCCTAGCAGCCTAGCAGACTGAGATCTGAGCATCCTGGTGGTTCAAAGCTAGTTGAGACAAAAAGGTCCTTGAGATGCTTATCTCCAATTAACCACCAAAACGCAGGAAGTGGAGCTGTGGCTCAAGTGGTAGAGAGCTAGAGTTGAGCAAAAAAGCTCAGGGGCAGTGCCTAGGCCCTGAGCTCAAGTCCCACAATTGGCACGTGTGCACACACACACACACACACAAAGACAGAGAAGGTAAAGAGGATAAGAAATAGAGGGGTGATTATGGTCCAAGTACATTATATGCATGTATATAAAATCACAGCCAGGTGCTGATGGCTCACACCAATCCTCAGAGGATATCTGAGGATCGCAGTTCAAAGCCAGTGGAGGTGGAAAAGTCCCTGTGGACTTTTATCCCCAATTAACTACCTAAAAGCTGGAAGTAGCCGGGCACCAGTGGCTCATGCCTGTAATCCTAGCTACTGAGGAAGCTCTGAGGATCACAGTTCAAAGCCAGCCCGGGCAGGAAAGTCCATGAAACTCTTATCTCCAATAAAACACTAGAAAACCAGAAGTGGCCCTGTGGCTCAAGCGGTAGAGCGCTCACCTTGAGCTGAAGAGCTGAGGGATAGCACCCAGTCCCAGAGTTCAAGTCCCAGGACTGACAAAAAAAAAAAAAGCTGGAAGTGGAACAGTGGTTCAAAGTGTGGCCTTGAGCACAAAAGCTCAGGGACAGCACCCAGGCCCTGAGTCCAAGCCCCATAACTGAAAAAAAAAAATTACAGTGAAATCCTTCATTTTCTACAATTAATATACACTAATAAAATAATTTTTAGCTAGGGGCAGGTAATACCACTCTTTGCCCACTATATTGTATTGAAATGGAAAGTATGAGTTGGAGATTTATGAAGTTCTTCCAGGAGAAGAGAAGCGTATGAATGTACCACAAAGCACAGTGAAATCTCATCCCCAGTGCGTGCGGGCTAAGAGATGGAACCAGGGAGGGCCTGGAGGGTCACTAGGTCCTGCGGGCTATCCTCTCCCAAAGGGATTAATGGCCTGTTTCCATTCCCCTGTGTCACACAGGATCCTGCAGTGCTCCCGGCAAGAAAGCCTTCACCTTGGACTTCCCTGACAGCACAACTGTGAGCTGAATACTTTTTTTTTTGTATTTATCATTTCTCCAGTGTGAGGTACTCAGATACCGCAAGGGAAAGCAGAGGAAGACAGGGAGGTTTGTTGTTGTAGTTTTGTTTTTTAGCTTACGTTAGGTATATGGGGGCAGGGGTGTCGCTGTTACATTACCACCTATGCTCACAGTATATTCCAGTCCCTTTCACACCCCCGCCACACCCCCGCTGACTCCGTCCCTTACCATTTCAGCCGGTCTCTTTGTTCTGCTCTTGTGGTTGGAGACAGTGTCTTTTGATCATATCCATCC